AAATTAAATGAATGTAATAGACTTATCAAAGCTTTGGTATCCCTTGATTCCGCATCATCCCAGTCGATATCAAGATCGCCTGCAAGAATTATCTTTAATAAAAGTGGGAATTTTAGCAAAAGACCCTCGAGATCTTCCAAAAACATTGCTGAGTTTCCAATTTTCTTACAAAAATCAGTGAAAACTCAAATTTGTTATTTATAATTAAATCATTATATATGTCAATGCACTTGATCTCGTGTGTCATTGAAAAGCTGTTGTGACCCATGACATCATATTACGTTTCACTATGGACCGGCCCTTGGTGGCGATTTATTGACTCCAACGCAGTGCGAGAAGGATAGAGCCAATTGAGGCAAAACACAACGGGATTTGACATGCTTGTTGTTTTTGTCAAGCAAGTTGTCAACGTTTGTGTCGACGTTAATTTATTCCGATCGGTTAAATTTCCTTTTTTTTAATAATATCACTCCTGGATCTGATTATTTTGTTATATTTGAGTGAAAGGCCAATGAAATATCAATTTGGTTCCCCCCTGTGCTGCATTTAATTGCAAAATAAGATGGCAGAATGACATAACCTATTACAGCCCTTAGATAAAAATATGAGTGTTTGCCTCAAATAGCTCCATCTCTCTCGGACCTCTCTTTCTAATGTTGGCTGCAAACAAACACTGTCCGAGAATATGGCGGTCCATTAATGAAATGTCATTGGTTGTGACAAAGGATTGCTGTGCCTCTATAACCCTTCGCCCTGCAATATTTGGAAATCATTTTTTAGTCCGGAACGTAGCACAACTCCTCACCAGTCAGCCAATGTTCTGTTAAAAGGACAAATGTAGGCATATTTAAATTTTCAATTACGACATAGAGTTCATTTGCTTTGTTTCGTACTGATTGTATATTGAGTAAAAATAAAGTAATTTTAATTTGTTTTGAATCTGGAGCCCAATCTTTGCCCTCCTTCACAGAAACACTGTCGTTAATTAACCTGGAGAATACTTCGAATTTATGTTACTTTCACTGATACCACTTAATTAAAGTATAAGATCATCAATTCGCTGAGCTATTCTAATTGTTGCAGTATTTTTTAGGACTAAAGAATTTTTAAAAATGAAGAATGTAGAATTTAGAAAAGAATTTAAATTCAGAAATATCTTAAAAACGTTTTTCAGTCTATCAAATAACAAAATATTAATTTTGTCTATAAGTCCGTTAAGTACTTGTTCTGTTGCCCCATAGCGGTACTGAAAATAAAGTTAAGTTAGTTTGTAAACCAATCGTAGATAAAACATCAAATATCTTCATGTCAATTACACTCCCGCGACGTGCATTCTCTAATATACTGACTTCAGTAAAGCCTTTGATAAGGTAAATCACAACATCCTTCTTTCAAAGCTTTCAAGTTTCGGCGTTTCTGGACATTTACTTTCATGGATGAAATCATACCTTACTAACAGAATGCAACAAGTCAAGATCGATGGCTATCTTTCTTCTCTTTTCCATGCATCCTCTGGGGTACCCCAAGTTCTCACTTGGGCCCCCTTCTATTCAGCTTGTTCATCAACGATTTAGGATCGTTGCTCTCCTCAGATTTTTTACTTTTTGCTGATGACTTGAAGTTGTATCGTCAGGTGACATCAGCTCAAGACATACTTATTTTGCAAAATGATCTTAACATCGTTCACGATTGGTGTCAGCTTAATTACATGTCCCTCAACATCGATAAGTGCTGTTGTATAAGATTCAGTAGACGCACCCATAGTGTTCCCTTGCAGTATTACTTAAACAATGTTCGCTTGTCTGAAGTTTCTATCATTAAAGATCTTGGTGTCTATCTAGATACTAGGCTAATGTTCACTGAGCATTTTGAAGTGTTGGGTTTTATTAAGAGAGCTACTAGGGACTTTACAAGTGTACGCCCTATCAAAATTCTTTACACATCACTGGTCAGGTCCGTTCTTGAATTTTCTTGCATAGTTTGGTCACCTCACTATCAGATACACATCAATAGGCTTGAGAGTGTTCAACACAAATTTATCAAGTTTGCAAGGTACAAACTTTCTTTGAGTGGTGTGATTCTGTGATGACCTGACTATGACTTATTTAGACTCCTCTCTTCTTGTTCGCAGAAGGGAATATTTTGATGTCTGTTTTGCATTTAAAATCCTTAACTACTACTTAAAAAGCCACGAATGTCTTGGATGTTTTAATCTACACATTCAAAGTTATCAGACACGAAGTAAATCTTTACTGCACATTCCTTACTGTCGAACCTGGTACTTACTATTCAGTCCTGTGAATAGAATATCTGCCAATGTAAATAAGTTTTGTGAGGGCCTTGAGTTCTTTGGTCTATCTCTGGATAAATTTAAGACGAAGGCCAGGAGAATTGTTTTAGGTTAGATTTTTTTAGATTTAAACTCTGTTCAACTTCAAATGTATTTTTCTTATACGTAAATAAATAAATAAATAAATAAATAAACCACCAGATATTATAACAAAATTTTTTCTTGAGAAGTCTTCTGTCAAAACGCAAATATCTTTCATAATGACTTTCAAACTTGCATTGTGCTTGCAATGGTAAGTATGTCGTAATTTTCCTTTTCGTGAACTTTTAGGATTTTAGAGAGATCCACAACTGTACTATCACCTATTATAAGCACTTGATGCTGTTTATGGATTTCTGTAGGTGTTTTGATGCACTTTGTTGGGGTTAGATTGTCGGCAGAATGCTGAAAATTGTCAAAGTTTAACATTTCCAATTCTTTGACCTCTGCCATGTATAAGTCCCTTTCCACATCAAGAACCTCGGCCCATGTCCTAAGTTCACTACTGGCTCCCTTTATTTCATTAGGCATTTCCTGTTCTGTTCTTTGTTGGGTTTCTCAATCTGAAAGTTTTCTTTCAAAGATGGCATTTAGCATTTTTAGGTGTTTTATTTGCTCTTCCATTTGAAGCACCGTTCCAATGGTTGAAGCTATAATGCCGGTTTGTGTTATAGAGTTTTTGGAGTTTTTGTTCCCAATGTCTGTGTAATATCATCAATCAAGCATCCTGCGGTCGTACTGATTTTGATTTGGGTTTCTGGTTTGGTTTTTAAATCCTTCATTTTTGATTTCAGTTCTCGAATCATAGTCTCACACTCTTTATTTTTCGCTTCCAGTTATGCAATTTTTTTTCTTGTAGTTGTATTCTCTTTAGATCCACTTTCCTTGGTTTCTGCATTATGCCTAAATGATATCGTGCACACATCACAGAAATAGCGTTCCTTTCAAGATATTAATTCCAGAAACCTAACTTCTAAAGCACCCCAACCTCCACAACTCCTGCAGATGATCATTTGACAGTTGTCACATGCGCGTCCAAAAACGTCACCACTATTTTTTTGCGGGTTCCCTAAAGACGCAATTTGTGCCGCATGGTAAACACTTTTGAGGCATATTGATTGATTTTGATCTTATATATTCCAACAATTCTCCAATATTCCTTATTAGTTTAAAAATGAATAATTTTTTGTTGTGCTGGCTCTTGGAATTAATTATTCTTATCGATTTTATGCCTCATAAAGAAAAGGAATAAAAGTTTTTGAATACTTTAGATACCATTTAATATCATTATTTTTTTATTGTTATTAGGGACATGGCAAACTGCTAATTTTACCCATTTAGATCACCAAACACGCGAGTTGAAACTCAAAATAACACTTGAAAAAGAGAGAAAAAAAAACATGCTACACTTTGGTACCACTTTCACTTAAGTTAATATGTATTAAGCAAGTAAAAAATAAGAAAAATCCAGAATGTCGAGAAACACGTCTTGATATATCCCAATAAAAATAACCCAATTCCAGTCAATTCAATTTCAATACTTCGGCAAAATAATATTTGGCGGCGTGTGATGTAAAATTCTTGGAACATTCAATAGCCGGGAACATTCTCGGAAACTTAAATATTGGAAATATTTTTTATTTTTTTATTTTTATAGCTAAATCAAGCAAATCAGTAATAAGCTTTATTTATTATTGTAGTGTACTGACTATAAACTATAAACCAATAAAAATAATTATTTTTTCTGTAAGATCAGCTAAAACGCTAAAAAAAAAAACTTTTATGGCCTTGTAAAAAGGGCTTTACGGAAACGTTGATCCGATTAACCCGATCAACAGCTGTTTTTTTATCTTTCTTCAGTCAAGACGAATAAAAAAACTACATCAGCTGGTGATCCGGTTAATCAGATCGGCGTTTCTGGACAGTTGGATAGGACTACATCCACATAAATTAAAATGACGTCACTTAGACCTTGTATACTAATCGCGAATTTTTATAAAATTCTCCTCCTAGAAAGTTCTTGGAAATATTCTCAAAAGTTTTCGGAAATATTCTCGAAAGTTCTTGGAAATATTCTAGAGAATTTGAAATCTTTGCACGCCTATGCTTAGTTTCATAAAGAAGCTGCCGCCCATAGAGTTTTTACACTATTCCGATTGACTTCGAATGTATGTACTATATAACCTGCATACACAGATGTTAGCCAGCTAGATGCAGTTCAAACATTTTAAGTCCAAAATATGTAAAAATTGAACTGTAGGTAAGTGGTCTGTATCAAATTTTTTGGTAATATATTATCATTGTTTGACTATGTATATCTCTTAACCCCCGCTTTCCATTAGAGAAATTTTAGGTGGTGATTCTGGGGGCTACAGGGTTGAAAGGGGAGAGTTGAATTTTGCATAGAAACTCATCCCCAATCCAAATTGAAGTTGACCTGTTTTGGTGATTTTTTCTAAAACTTTGTTTCTGAAATAATAATTAATAAAATAATAAAATAAATAACAAAAATAATAATTGACACCCTCTACCTATATTATCAAAGTTTGTCAATGATATTGACTTACAGATATGATAAAGAACAACATGTGGCCTGTTATTTACTATCTACTTAGTATACTTTTCTGCTGCTTTTTTCTTAGTTATTTTTCTGACTTATTTTTTTTTTCAGGCCATGAAAATTTCACTGAATCTACAGATGAGAAAAAACAATTGACTGAAGAAGAAAAAAAGGAACAATTGGCTTTAATAGAAGCTAAGCTAAGGCAACGTCGACTTGAGAGAGAAGCAAGAGAAAAGGAAGAGGCCTTGGAAAAGGAAAGAATGAGAATTAGGTCCGGGAAAGAAATTTTGGAAGCTAAAAAGGTATCTGACGCAATCTAATACATTAACCCAAATAATAGGCTTTAGAAGATATCAGAATGGCTCAAAAAATATGTGCCCTAAATGGACTTATGTTGTCAGATTTTCATCCATAACATAAACACTTTCAGCAATAGGAAGGTTTGTTTCTAGTAGCATGAGGTTACCTGATTGAAATTAAATTATTAAGTTCAGTGGCGTCCCGGAAGACAAAAATATAATTAAACTTAATGGCATTAGGCGTACATTGTTTTCTTTGAAAAATGTCAATAAGGTGGCCTTCAGGGACGTCACTGAATTAAATAATTTCAATTCAATCAGGCTCTTGCTACTACAAACAAACCGGCCAATGCCAAGTCTCATCAAGATTGACGAAAGAGTGTTAATGTTATAGATGGAAAACAGATTTTATTAAAAAAACTTCAACACCCTTTATCTTTAAAACAAAGCAATTTACGGCACATATTTATATGAGCTTTTAGTCATAAATTAGTCAAGAAATTACCTCCTTCAATAGTGACATAATATTTACGAATATCTTCAATTGAAAATTGGAGTAGTCACCATCTATGCTTGTTTTGTCTTTAGTTAGTATGAGTGCTAGAATTTGCAGTATGCGACTCATGTGACCCCTTTAGATATTTATGAGATAAAAAATAAGCCCAAACATCAGATCTTTACTGCAATTTATTTTTTAATTCCTTTAAGGCTTGTTTTTTGTCCTGTGCACTCTGAAAATAGTGAGGGCTCACTACTGCAGTCTGGCCCCTCTTTGGTTTGTTCCTTACAGCTTTAGCTACTCTGTGGACTGGAATTTGTTGTGTTCATTTCTTCTAGCATTTACAGTTTTTGTTTGTTCAATATCTTGTAAAATAACTTTACTTGTTTTATCCTTTGAAAGAAATATTTTACTTGCTATTTGAGGCTAATTGTCATTTTAAATAATTTCAAATTTATTTGACCTAGTTAAGAACAATATTCACTTTCTTGTTGCAAATAAAATTTCCTTTTGTGTGGCATATACTTACTTTTTATTAAGTACATATGCATTTAAAAAAAAAAGAGAAAATTATTGTGAAAGTTGGTTTTTGGTGCAAATTCACTTTCTATTCATTTCTAAACGCGCCACTGATAATTTGAGTGTTGGTTTTATCCCCTTTATTCGGATAGGTATGACTTCAGCCTTCTTCGGGTTGGTTTCTCAATAGCGAGTCACCTTCGGGTTGGTTTTAACTCCAGGGTAAACGTGTCCAGTTGCAATGTTTACCCTGGAGCAGTTATGCTTAACCCAGGGGTGATTTGCTATTGAGAAACCGGCCTTTAAGGCTCGATGGAAATTTTCCTTTTTAAATGCAAATATTTATTGATTTGGTCACTAGGGTTTTTGTGATATTGTTTTTGGACTCTAGTAGCTCAAGTTCAACCACGGTAATAGCCAAAGTTATGGATGTATTGAGGTGATTTCTTCTTGTGATTTATAAGTAACAGCATCTGTATCTTGATTTTGGTCACTATTATTGCAAAATTTTTTGCTTTTTCTTCTTCTTTCTTCTTTTTTTTCCCTTGACATTTGTCCATTTGATTCTATTACGGACCATCAGCACCATCTCTTGGATAGTTGTGGAACTTTGCGTATTCTTATCGCCTTCAGCTGCATTGGATTTTTAAGATTCAAAATTTGAACCAGTATAGCCTTGTCGGCCATCTACATCCATTTCCTGCATCTTGATCCCATTGTTAGTACACATTCGTACACCTTGATGGTGACTGGGATTTGAGTGGCAAAGGGGAGGTTTTCATTGCAGTCCTGCAGGGTTTTTAACTCGGTTTCCAAGGAAATCACTTCTTCTCTTCTTCCAATGCGTATCCACTAATGGATATTTGCCATACCATTTTCCATTGCTTCTCTATTCTTTGCAGTGTGTAGTAACGACTGCACATCATGTAGCTCTGTCTACTGTCTAATATTTCGCAACCAAGACATTTTCTTTCTTTCGATCTCTCTCCGGCCTTCGATCAATAGGTGCAAGAATTGGTATTTCGTGTTTCGCATTATATTCCGTTTTTCTCTTTTGAATCAATTTAAACAGTTTACGTTGTTTGTTGACACATTTTAGGACTTCTTCGTTTGTTAGTCTAGCCGTCCAAGATATCTTAAGAATTCTGCGATACAGCCACATCTCGAAAGCCTCTATTTGTTAATTGCAGTCACCTTCAATGTCCAACCTTCCATACCGTAAAGAAGCATTGACCAAACGTAGCATTTAATGAATCTGAGTCTTAGGTTAAGGTCAAAATCGGAACAGGGAAGCACTCTTCGAAACCTCAACAATGCCTATCGAGCTTGTTCAATGCGACATTTTATTTCATTGTCTGATGTCTAGTCTTTGAAAAGCCAGACGCCCAATTACTTAAATTTATCTACTCTCTCTATGGGCCGGGCCTTGCGTTAAATGTTATGGTGGAGTTTTCAAACATATTTAGGTTTCTAGAGATAATCATAAACTCTGTTTTTTTGGTGTTGATATTTAAGCCCATTAATTTACTCTGTTTTCCTACCTTGTTGAGTTGACTAGTTGTTGTAGGTCGTGTATGTTATCAGCAATTAAGAACGTATCGTCAGCATAGCGGATATTGTTAATCCACACTCCATTAACTTTGACTCCCATTTCCACATCTTCCAAAGCCTCCTGGACAATCGCTTCCGAATATAAGTTGAACAGGAGCGGAGACTGCACACATCCCTATCGCACCCCTCTTCTTATTTGTATGGTGTTGGACATAATATTGCCTAGTTTGATTTGCGTTGTTTGGTTCTAGTATAGGTTTTCAATGCATCTAATGTCTTTCTGGTCTTTATCAAGCTTATTGAGGAGCTGCAAATAATTTGTGGTGTTGTACGCGATCGAATGTCTTTTCGTAATCTATGAAACATAGGCACACATCCTTTCTCTGATCGTAGCAATGTTGGACAAGCACTTGTGCTGCGACTATCGCTTCTCGTGTACCTAACCCCTTTCTGAACCCAAATTGCGAGTCGCTTATGTCTCTTTCACATTTCTTGTAAATTCTCTGGTGTATGATTTTAAGAAATATTTTTAAAGTATGGCTAATAAGTCTATGATCTTCACATTTTCTTGCATTGATCTTCTTAGGCAGAGGTATAAAAGTAGAACACAACCACTGTTTGGGATAGCGACCTGTCTCATAAGTAGAGTTAAATGATTTATGTAGTGCTGTGATGCCTCTTTCATCTAGGAGTTTAAGTATTTCTGAAGGGATTTCATCTGGGCCAGCCGTTTTGTTATTTTTTGAATTACGTATGGCACTTTCAATCTCATCCTTAGTGATTGATGGGCCGGTTAGAGAGTTATTGATACTAGCTGCAGGTCTGTCATCGTCAAAAAGTTCTTCAATATACCTTTCCCAAACATTGTTTTTCTTTTTGCTGCCGAGGACTATCTGATTGTTATTATTTACTGTTATAGTTGGTCTCATTTTTATATATGTACAGGGTGTTCGGAAAGTCAACGATAATACTGGAAAGGCTGATGAAGCAACTCATTAGCATTCAGAAAAACATAATATGACCTTAGTAAAAAATCGATGGTTTCCGAGATATTGTCACTTTAACAAAATTCGTTGAAATCGTCCTCTTGGATCAGATTTTCGAGTGTCACCTTTAATTTCATTTGTCATACACGGACATTAAAAGTCAAAGCTCAAAACATTAAAAAAAAAAAATTTTTAGTCGTTCTTTTGTTCTAACAATTCCCACTCCTTTTCTATGTTCTGGATCGTCATTACCAGAGTAGAAGAATACTCCGTTATCCACATTGCACCTTCCCGCACCAGGCCACCAGGTTTCAGCGACACCTAGGATATTCAGTTCGAGTCTGCTTATTTCTCGTGTGAGGTTTGCCAGTTTCCCAGCTTCGAATAGGCTTCTTACATTCCATGTTCCGATCTTCAATGATTTTCTTAGATTTGTTCTCATATTTGTTACATTTAAAGCCGTCCTTCCCGGAGATCCGATTGGGGGACTATTTATACCTACCTCCGGAAAATTTTGAATTAAATGTACTCATGTAATAATTGTCTTGGGAAAATAATCAAGGTGGTATCCCGTTGCCTTCCTTTAGGAAATCACTATTTTCCTCCAAAGTGCTGCTTGCTTGGAACAGGAGACGTGAAACTTTTTATTACATTCTTCAAACTATAATAAACGTTCTGTCAATTTTTTGCAGTGAAAACAAATCGTTTTTTTGTATTTTGCTTCTTTATTCACCACCGACTTTTCTATCAATCGGCGCCATGTTGATGTCTTGAATAAATTAATGAATCAATGGATCGCGACATATTGGTACTCTTCTCAGAATACGAGTGGAGAAGAAAAGAAAAACAAAAACACTCTAGAGTAGATCAAGGAAGTTGTTTAGTATTCTTCATTTCTTCCTTTTTTTTTTGTATAAATTATATTTTTTGAGTTAGTTGCATTTATTCAAAAAAAAGTGCTAAAATTCAGGATGACGGACGCGATTTTCATATGTCCAGGACGCCTGGCCTATGTGGACTTTTACTTTGTTAGATAGGACCCTAAATTCCCGCTAATTCCAAAGTCCCAGCGTTATAATTCCTTCTTAGGGTAACCTGTTGTAGAAATACTACGTGAGGAGCCAAGGCTCGCTTGCTTACGGAACTTAGTATGATTTGGAATGTTTTGTATTTAAATTACAATACAATACAATTCCGTCATTTGAATTCGAATAAACTTTCATACAAGAGAATATTACTTGGCTTCTCCATACTAAAATTATGCCCGCTTGTGTTGTTATTCGTCTGTGGAGATTCTAAGGGCCTGAGTTTGCTGTGTGAGGTGCTGTGATGCCTCATTTCAACTATGTAGTTTCTTGCCTGACACTACCTAGTTTAGTATTTTTGGGTGCTCTAATATAATTGACATGTGAGTTGGCGGAGTGTTTGAGATAGCTCACTATAATAATATTTATATGTACAGTGTGTATCAGCCAAATGGAATAAATTCGATAATAAATAAATGGGGCACTTTTCGAAAAAACGCTCGAACACGTCAATTTTGTTTTTTTGCTTGAGATTTTTGCACATCAATTTTTTCATACAGGGTGTTCCGAAAACAGCTGTACCGTTATCAACTTTAGTTTTTTTAATTGTAACCCCTGTATATTATGACATTTCTAGATTCTGCGGAAAATTCTAGATATATTTCATGTACAATGTCTTATAACTATCTTCAACTGTTTCGGAAATATTGACAGTTGAAAATTGACTTTTTTGTATCTTGGACAGACTGTAAAACCTGAACGGTTACTTTTACAGCAAAACCGATCATATATTCTTATCTCAGTTTTTCATCACTTTGAATTAAATCCATGATTAAAAATTTCGCTTAAATTATTAATCTTTGGTTAAATTCAAAGTTGCTGTCAAATAATAGCTTATGAAGATCTAGGATGGAAATGTGAAATCGGTTTTGCTGTAAAATCAACCGTTTAGCTTTCACAGCCTGTCAAAGATGCAAAAAAGTCAATTTTCAACTGTCAATATTTCCGAAACAGTTGAAGATAGATATATGATATTGTACATGAAATATGTCTAGAATTTTCCGCAGAATCCAGAAGTGTTATAATATACAGGGGGTACCATTAAAAAAACTAAAAATGATAGCGGTACAGCTGTTTTCGGAACACCCTATATAAAAAAATTGGTGTGAAAAAATCTCAAGCATAAAAACAAAATTGACGTGTTCGAGCGTTTTTTCGAAAAGTTTCCCATTTATTTATTATCGAATTTATTCCATTTGGCTGATACACACTGTATAATCACAATCAAGAAATACTAAATATTATATTGTTTAGAAACATGACGAATTGGAAATGAAGAAGATAATTCAACAAAGAAAGAAAGAAAAAGAAGACGAACGCTCAGCCAGGCAAAGGGTGAGAGAACAAATTTTGGCTGACAAATTGGCAAGAAAGGTTAAATTTGGTGATGGACCGGCCCCTATCAATGAACCAGTGGCTGTGCAACCTGACATTCCAGATTCTGCCATAGAGAAGAAGCCCTCCCAAAATTATTCCGAGGTTAAATTACAGATTCGTTTGAGTGATGGTAAGAATTTGTAACAATTGGCCATGAACAGTTTATTGGTACAATCATTTCAGGAAAGACTTTGGTGCAAAGTTTTGGCATCAAAGAACCACTCTCAGCCGTGCGCCTTTTTGTGGAGATGAACTATATGGACGGCCCATTCAACCTGATGAACAGCTTTCCCAGAAAAGTTTTTACCAGTGAAGACTACGAAAAACCATTGGAAGCTTTGGGTTTGGCACCTACGGCAACACTTATTGTCACTAAAGCCTAAAATGATGGTTTGCCTGTTTTTTTTTTATTACAATATTAATAAGTACAATACCAAAGGCAAGTTTTTTTTTTTAAATTATGTATAAATAATTATTTTGTTTTCTTTTTGTAATTCAACAAGAATTCAGATCACCAATTCTTTGAAATTGGTAGGTATTTTTTAAGTTTGTTATTGTCGCTAACTGGATTTCTGTTGGAACAAATCTTGACCTTTCTGTACCCAACTCTAATGGCACAAGGTCCTGTTCCAGTAAAAAACCAACAGCCAGAAAATAAAAAAATTGAGGATCTGTTACTTCTCGTTGGAATAAAAATGTTCGCTCCTAAGCAAATGGAACCTCTCTCGCCTATATAATATTATAATGTATATCTTATTTGTTTACTTACTTATCAATAAATATATTTCTTTTGTATAATTTTTTTCTATAAAGTCTTTTTGACCTCCAAGTGTTCAGAGCTCCAATTTAGGGAATACTTATTCAGTTAAAACATGTTGAATTATGGACGATTTTATTTCAAGAGCATAATTTACAATAATTCTGTGTGATTGTGTAAACGGCAAGCACCAAGGCGGAGAATGGACTTCCTAGAAAGAACACATACTATTTTTTTCTGTGAATCTGTCAAATTGAAAACGAAAATACATTAAAATACGAACCTTAAGTGAGAAAATATTGCCTGGCAACTGCTGTTATATTAATTCATGAAACCCAAGTGAAGATTAATTGTTTCTTCGATGTGCTGAGAAACAAAAAAAAAATAGAGATGAGTAATCCATTCCCGTTCATACTTTGTCGAACAAACCTATACTGAGTGAACATGGCGGAGCTGCTCGGCCTGACTTAAAAACTGCAATAATATATAAGAAAGAACACTGAAAAATTCAAGAATTTTAATAAGTATGCTCACAATCTACTATGCATACTGCACAAAACTGAGAATTTATGTTCTGATTTATGCCATTTATTTTAAAATGTGTACCCACTCATCAGTTTACAGTCTACAGTGTGAAGCTGGCTGAAAATTGTCAATAGCTGAACCTCTAGGAGGGCAATTACCACTTTTTGAAAGCTTGTTCAATTTAAAGTACAGCTAACACTGCAAATGAAAATATTACCATCCTCATCGTATGTAGAATATCTATCTTTGGACACCCATTTACTTTACCTTAAACTCAAGAATAAATATGGTTCAATAGAAATAAAATATCAACGTTAGCCATTTACATTTCAAACTTGCAGGATGTTGTAGATATAATAATAATAATCATAATAATCCGTTCATATAGCTAACAGCTAGTTTGCATCATTACAAGAAAAATCAAATATAGTGTATCTAATATTCAAAATTCAAAAATAGTATTATTATTAGGTACATACATACACAAAAAAAATATATGTATAAAATATAGGAGTGGAAATTTTTCAAAAATCACCTATTAATCTAAAACAGTCCTATTCCACCATTTCACCATTCAAAATAGGTAGGTACCTACCTAATTAGCACGGGTTATGACGCTCTCGTGGAAACCGTGGAATCAATTATTAACCATGGATTGATAATATATATGGGATAGTGCTGGTGTGACTATTGCGACTAAACTGGAACTCACCTTAAAATGGATAACAAAAATAATGCTTTTCAAAGACACACCATATCTCACTCAGTTAGTATAGAGACAGAGAGTAACATTGACTCCAAATCAACTTTCATAAATTCAATAATTAGATTTATGTTAAAGAATTCTGTGTTTAAAGAAGCTATAAGGTCATAATGTCAATACAAGACATGCGATGCATAGAAACGTCTTACACATGACCCTAGACACACCTTATCTCAAAGCGATATTTATTCTGTTGGACCAAAGATTTATAATTACATAGGTATTTGCCAATTTGTTCTAATGCACCAAAATTGCAATAAGCTGTATATTTGTTGATAGTTTTTGAAGGACTTTCTGCTGCCGTTGCCATAAAAATATTTTTCATTGCGCCCTTAGGGTCATATTTGACCCTTAACACTGCTGCAACCAATATTAACCAAACCTTTACCTAAATTTGTTAAGAGTAGGTAAACGGCCCCTAGGTGCCAGATGGAAAATACTTTTGTACTTTTTTCCTGAATTTGTTAAGAATAAACGGCCTTCAGGATCTCGACGGAGAATAATTTTACGGCAGCAGAAAGCCCTTTAAACACTATCGTCAAAGTTAAAGGTGCATACATACCGCTGGTACAGCACTTTTTCTCCTTAATTTATAAAAAATACAGTACCTTGTCTTGTGCTGGGCAGAACAGTGCCAGTTTATCTCTCCTTTTATTCCTTGTTCTTAACCGAAAATCGCCTATAATACTCTCCCCTTTCCAATCTTTGCGTTAAAGTCTCCCATTATAATCGTTCTTTGTGACATCCAAAACTTGAATTTCATTGTAGAATTGTCCTTTTTTTTTCACTCTTATCCGATAATAAATATTTGCCAAAAGAAGAACGCATGGCTAACATGGAATTTTTCGGCTCTATGGATTTTGCCAATTTTCTACAACATATCAAAATATTGGCAAAATTCATAGAGCCCAAAAATTCCATGTTAGCGTGTATTATTCTTTTGGACCACAAGATTATTACCTGTCATACAAAGTTGCGATTTCTCGCTTGTATAAAATAATATTGAATTGAAATAATTTGAGTCATAGCTCAGCAAAGCTCAGAGGAGCTGCAATATATGTGTTGCCTAATCACCCATTATTATTATGCAGGGTGACGTAAACCTAATGATAAATGATTCATTTATAAAAGTATCAAACGCTTGCTTATTTCAAAGGTAGTGCGTAATTAATTTATTATCACATTGAAATGCTAATGAAATTCTCTTTCTGATTGTATGCTTTAATATTTCTATACTTATCTTTTTCTCTTATCATTCCGAAATGAAAAGCATTTCTTTATGAAAAAAACCTCTTATCTTACCTAACCAGGTTTAATAACTGTCGAAATAGTCATTTTTATAAATGCTTTGACAGATTTTCAAGAATTTTTAAACATTTTAATAAATACGGCTTATGTTGTAATGATTATATTACAAAACAAGAAATAAGAATCAACATGATTCATTGTATCGGGCGTTACGGTAGGGTAACGCTTTTTTATGCTGAGCCAGTACTTCGACCAAAGGCATCCCTACTATTTGTGCATTCGATAGGCTGGAAAATTCATTCAAAGAAAACAGGAACGGAGGATTGAAAAGCAATGCATTTACTTTTCCCTGGGTATTATATTCGATTACCTACTGCAGAAACTTGGAGAAATCGGTTTTAAATAGAATTAAATATTCATCGCATTCATTTATTTCATTTAGGCCAAGCAATGAAGGAAGTTTACTTCAACATAATTAGAAGTTAACATTTTTTGAGGGGATCAGTCCATTTTCATGTGCTAAATAACATATTAAGTTTGCGACCTTGTACAGTACTACCTCGATAATCCGAACAGCGAACGCTCGAAGGCATAATCCGAACAAATCTTGATAATCCGAACAACTGCTGAAAACCGCATAAGCCTAGTACTCATAACAGCGAAATTCGCTCTTTTTTGACATTGCTTCTACAATTTGACGTTTTATGCGTGAATCTATAACGTCAAATTGTCGAAGCAATGTCAAAAAAGAGCGAATTTCGCGGTTATGAGTACCTACTATGCTTTACGCTACACGTGCTACGTCAAATTTAATACGTAATAATGTTCTCAAAGCGGGATCAGAAGAATCTGAAGAAATCGTACCGACTAACGTAACTCACAAAGAAGCAGTAAAATGTTTTCAGACTTGTTTAAAATGAGCAGAACAAAATTCTGGAACAGCTGGGAACATTTTTCTTCTAAGGCCCGGTTTATTCATCTTCAGATAAACTTGCTGTTAACTATTTGTAAGATAAATTCGTCATTCTATAATTTTATTGGTCGGGGAATAACTGGCCGACCAATGGGATTACAGTTCGCGTTTTTATCCGTCAAAATGCATACCTGACAATTTATCAAAAGGTGAATAAACTGGCCCTAAAAGAAATTAAAAAAAAAAGGCGGAAATGGGAGAAACAGCCAGTATGCACAAAAAAAAAATTACCCCTCTAACCAAAGTTAAACTGGGAGTTAATTTTAATTATGTACATTTATTTATATTTTTTTTTTAAAAAAAAGCTTATTTTTGATTATTTGCTTATCTATTTATTGCATACTTAAGTTAAGGCTCCACTTCAGGCAAAATGCTATTTAGTCACAGACCGCGAGACGAAAGTTCAAGAAAAGCTAGACAATTGCGACATGCATTAAAAAGCTTAATGAAACACAACACTACAATAAATATTTTCAATGCTGCATTAAATACTTTTAGTCAAAAATGTATCAAATCAGTGCCCACGAAAACCCAAACTACGGCGTCAATAAAGCAATAACAGACTTCATTTTTGGAACAAAAACTTACAATGGTTCAACTCACCAGCGTACAGAGCGATTTTTCAAAAAAAATTAAAATCCATCGCTCATATTTGCATTCAAAAAAGAGCAAAAAAAAAGGCGATCTTCAGCAATATTTTTCTGCAATAAATATTTAATATATCAAAAAAACGCTTTTGTAGGCTGGTTGTATAATCCTTCGTTTATATAAATTTAATTAGTTCATCTCGATATCTGGCAATAATTAGTTCGGATTATCGAGGCTGTACTGTACTTCCACAGGGTTTTTAGTTAGGGGTGTTTTTTAGGGCTTATTTGCGCTTTATGGAGAACGCTGCCCCAAGGGATGGTCCAAAAGCAAGAAGCTTCAAATGATTGTTGTCGAAAACTACCCCTTTCTTGTAATTTTTACTGTAATTGCTTCACATGACTGCTGCAACAATTAAAATTGCAGTATATTCACGAGAATAATGAATAAAGCCATCGTACCAAATTTCAGCGCTGTGTGCGACAATTTTATTTTTTTTTGACTTTTTGAAAAATTCCGCGCGACGTGTTCAGGCCAATAAGTCATTGAGTAATTAACGATTAAAAATCCGCTGGGGCATTATGAGAGGAGTAAATGAGCTGCCGATTGTCGAAAACTGTCACCAAATATTTGGCTTCATTTAGAAATTACCGTGAATGCAAGAAAGGGGTCGTTTTCGATGCAATATACAACTTTTTAGCACATTAGGCGAGTCCGTGCTGGCTTAATTTTCAAGCCAAAAATTCGAACAAAAAAGCATTGGAGAGTGCATTTCATTGGCAATAATGTGGTGTTTGAATAATTAAAATCGGATCATGCATTCGGCCGCTGCTGCACCAAATGCGCGCAAACAGGCGAAACGTTGATTCAGTGACCTTGAACAAAAACTATTCAAGACGCTGCAAAAAAAACTATAGAATATAAAGATGTGCTGTCATGGAGTT